AATAACAAACATACCCAATGAGAAGATGGAAAAATATGTCATTTGGAATTGGCCAATTGTAATTCATTGATTCTTTAATATTCATTAATATCAGTTTTGATTTACTAGCATCTAATCTTCCTAAAGGTGTATTTAAGATAAGTAAATTTTCAGACCAAGATAAAATTAAATCATTAATTTAAAAAGGGAATATAGAGATGATTATGTCTTAGAGAACAACTTTATAACAACCATCATTCTATGCAGAATTAATGGGCAAAAAGTGTATATCAACCAGTATTTTATATTATATATAAAATCAACGGATAGCCATCATTTTATAATGTATGCAGATTTAATGAACAACTTTTGAAAATACTGTATATTGAAAAGTATTCAGTTCACAAATTCATCATTAACACACATTTCAGTAGTTCTAAATGTAGTTTAATTCTTAATTCTTTTCAATTATTCGATCAATGAAGCTGATATCACCTAAAATAGAGAACTGCAATATCCAGTTGCCTAGCGTAAAGTCGGCTAGGAGCGTTTTTCCTTGTGCTATAAAAAGATCGATGTTTTGTGGTCATTATTTTCATTAATGATGATGTTTTTGACATAATACCTTTAAAATTCACATCTAGAAGATTACATTTATCACATAAAAGAAAGCTGTGTGAGCACACTAGTAGACCGTTAAGAAAAATCATATTCTCTGTTTAGGGAAGAGAAGTAAAAATGATAGCATTTATTTCGGTAATCTCAGCTTGTTTGGATAATAGACTTTATAATACAATTTAAATCTGTTTTTCTATAAATCCTTTAAACAGCAAGTGATATTGTATTATAACAGGAGGTTGAAGAGAATACGTTATTTACTCTTGGTTCTAATAGGTGATAATTGTTTATATTACTTGCACCACGACCTGCATTTTGAAGGGGAAATGAAGCATTCTAATTTTGGAATCATTTCTGTAGGGCTGACAAACCCATAATTTTAACTAGATCTTTTGTCTGCCATCACATATACAGTATAATCCTACAGATGCTTCCCAATGACGTCACAAGCAGACGATATTTTTTTCCCATTTTACCTGGACGATGGGCAACCTGGCAGTTTTTCCTATATACGACCACCGACATTTTCCATTTTAACAAAGCACACTGAGGCAAAGTCAGCTTATAAATCACAAATACAGATGGTAACAGAAATCTTGAATTGTGTTCTTTTTATGTATGCAACTTTCGTAATAGTATCTCGAGATTCATTGCATTTATTTCAACTTCCAAACACCATACAAAGTCAACGATAAATCTGCCAGCTGACCCCAAATATGACGGCTGATGACGTCATTCGGAAACTATCTATAACATAAATATTACACTGCCGTTCACCAAATCGTGATAGTTTGATCCAATAATAAGTGTTACATGTGCTTAGCATGCCCAGGAGGACTGTTGATCCAATTAGCGATGATCCAATGACTTGATTCAAATTAGAGTTGATCAAATGAACGTTGCTAAATACCTGAACACGTTATTCACTTATTGGACACATCTCGCCTACCTTAACCTTCTTTGATGACGCCCATTACCTTCAGCAACTCGTGACGGGCCAATGTTTGTATTCTTGTCCAAAATTAAATACATGTCTCAGATTCGTTTTGAATCTGATAATTAGCTTTAATTTATATTTCTTTGCAAATAAAGTTACAGATTGAAATCTTTCTACAACTCTTCGCGTGAGTTTTGTACTTTTGAAGTTTTCTTTACACATTAGGATTATTAAATAATAAAATACAATAAAGTATCACATCCATACTTAAAATGTAAATGAGGAAATTTAGAGTTTAATAATGTTGGCCTAACTTAAAGCTTAACGTAATGGAAGACAGTTGATTGATTTGTAAAAATGCAAAGCAAATTCCATGTTAACAAACACGTATAAGATAAATCGCCCCCATCTGAATAACTTTTCGGAGCACATGAGAAAGAAAATGCTTTCAAAATGTTGCAGAATACTTGCCTTTTAATTGGAAAAAAATTAGTATCTCAAATGTTATATTAAAAAAATCATGTGCGAAAATAAAACAGTCGATCTTTTGGAAGAGAAGATCTTTGTCAAAAATCTTCTTTAACAAGATGTAAGAGGTTGGTTCTTTCGATTCCATTGAAGCCAGAGTAGTCATCGGAAATTTATATTAATTCCATTACTACACTGCATAGTCATTGTTACTAAGTTAAATCGGTGGAAACGTCCTCCCAAACTAAGTGTCTACCTGTTCATTGGAGTGAGGGAGTATGAATTATTAACGCTGACATTTATGTGATCGCCTACATGTATTTAACCTGTAGACCTATACCTAGGTATAGTGAAATAGTTTTTAATGAGAAGATGAATGTGTCTCACCGACTTATCTAAAAGACGACAACGTCGTTGTGTGTTTAATCCCTGTAAAATTCAGTAACATGTATCGAGTTATAATCAGCAGGCTAAAGTTTCTGAAACTTTTCTGCGAATAGTTGTAGTGAAATCATCACACGCTGAAAAATTTGCACTGACAACTCTGCTATATATAGCAATATTGGAATGCCTATTACATGGATCTACAGTAGCAACCTGTCCACTCCTTAAATTTGTCCATTTCTTGCTTCAGTGATCGGAAATCATGCAGCAATCGTACTATAACCCAAATAAATTTTTCTCTTTCAGTACTTTTATTGTCACAATGCTCACCATTTCTAGTTCGTGCGTATTCTACCAAATTGTCCGCAAAGACGTAATAACAAGCCATGCATGCTACATTGACATATCGCAAACCAATTTTACGGTGTCAATGAGATAGCTTTTCCTCTTAATCTATGTCAAATCATAAACGTTAGAACTAAAAGTACAGAGAAAGTGTTATCTTTTTCTTTGATTCATGGTTATGAACTTCTTACTCACCTACTTTTTGTGCAGTTATTATAGCCATTTTTCATAAAATGTACTTTAAAGTGTTTTGTTTTCTTTTGGGGAAAATTACTTATTACAAATAGTTTTGTTAGATGATAATATACATAGTTAGCATCTTCTCAATTCGACACTTGCTCAAAACCAAATATATATGATGACAGATTTGCTCCAAGCCAAATATATGACAGATTTGTTCCAAGCCAAATATATATGATGACAGATTTGCTCCAAGCCAAATATATATGATGACAGATTTGCTTCAAGCAAAATATATAACAGATTTGCTACAAGCCAAATATATATGATGACAGATTTGCTCCAAGCCAAATATATATGATGACAGATTTGCTCTAAGCCAAATATATATGATGACAGATTTGATCCAAGCCAAATAAATATTACGACAGATTTGCTCTAAGCCAAATATATATGATGACAGATATGCGACGAGGATAAAAACTTAAAATACAATTTACATTTAGTTGACATGAATACAAAATTTAGCCTAAAAAACTTCCACAACAATATCAGTAATATTAAAAACAGCATCAGAGGGTACATATTGACACCGTACAGTTGCACCATTCACAGAAATGATGACTAGAGCAATCAGAACTGATTTTATATGGTATGATTTAGTAGTGCATAACAAACCTGTTAGTTTGTATACTTCTTTTCTCCGTTGTTTTCATTTTTCGTTGTATATTCAGTACTTTCATTAATTTTATTGTGGTTACACTTCTGGTAGCTGTCTTGTTGATGGTAATTTAAATCTGTTCTGATTGTTCTAGTCATCATTTCTGCATATGGTGCAACTGTGGTTATATTGTATGCTGAATCAATTGACAACTTTATAACAACCATCATTCTATGCAGAATTAATGGGCAAAAAGTGTATATCAACCAGTATTCTATATTATATATAGAATCAACGGATAGCCATCATTTTATAATGTATGCAGATTTAATGAACAACTTTTGAAAAAAACTGTATATTGAAAAGTATTCAGTTCACAAATTCATCATTAACACACATTTCAGTAGTTCTAAATGTAGTTTAATTCTTAATTCTTTTCAAATTATTCGATCAATGAAGCTGATATCACCTAAAATAGAGAACTGCAATATCCAGTAGATAATATCAAATAACGTAATTGCATTATGTAGATATATCACACCTGGCACATCGTTAGACTGGAGGAAGTGAAAGATTTATTTTACATTCTAATGAAATGACGTGAATTAAGCTTTCTTCAAGAACTGTACTGATGGTATATCAGATATTTTTTTTTAACAATTGTAGAGTTCTTTTTCTTATTAGTAATCTTTATGAACAAATAAGCCTGACTGGATATAACAAGAACTCATGATCGGATATAGCAAAGACTCAAGATTGGCTATAAAAAGATCTCAAGATGGGCTATAGCAAGAACTCATGATTAGATATAACAAGAACCCATATTTGGATATAGCAAGAACTCAGGATTGGATATAACATGAATACAGGGTTGGATAAAACAAACACTCAGGACTGGATTCGATATAGCAAGAACTCAGGGTCGGATATAACAAAAACGCAGGACTGGATTGGATATAGCAAGAACTCAGGGTCGGATATAACATGAAATCAGGGTTGGATATAACAAAAATTCAGGACTGGAATGGAGTTAGCAAGAACTCAGGATTGAATATAGCGAGAACTCAGGATTGGAATGGATATAGAAAGAACTCAGTATTGGATATAACAAGAACTCAGGATCTGTGGCTGCATATTGTTTTAACTACTTTCAGAATATTAGTCAATTATATGTTTACAAAAGAAGATGTGATGTGAGTAGGATTTTTAACGTAGCTTTAACAATTGTTCAGTTATATCGCTACGATGTCTGCAGTGTGGTAGTTTATAGTGATATCTAGCATTGGTGCATCATGTCGTAGACATGTAGCATGATGTCCCACCTAATAACATTATCCTGACACCAGGCCGACCAGTCCTAACACTAACTTCTTAATTTTGAGCGTCAAGCGAGGTAGCCTTTAATATCAGTTTTGTAAGTCTTTGGTATGACTCGACAGGGGGTTGAACCCACGACCTCCCGAATCTAAGGCAGACGCTCTATCCACTAGGCCACCGGAGAGGTTACAAAAGAAGAAATAATGTCATTCTATGGAAAGACTATAAATATTATTAGGAATGACATATATGCTTATGAATATTACTGTCACATGCTTCCTACTGTATTATTTATAATACTTGAAAAAGGTGGACAATTAAAATTTAAATAGCTCTGAGCCCCAGAGACAGCAATGCCGACGGTCTAGTTATACAAGCCACTCAAAGTGAAAACTATAACAATTTAATAAAATGTAGCAAATGTATTCAATAATTACATCGACAAATTTTCTTAATCGCAATTTGATTCGAACAAATACAATCAATGACATTTTAACAGTTGCCAATCTTTTTTTTCGTCACATGAACTTAAAGGTCTTAAGTGAGAGCGTTTCGTTTGTGTTGTATATCACACATCTGTCAATCACTCTCTGCCTCTTGTTTCTCTTTGATGCTTCCAGTACCGTTGACAACGTCCTCTACTGGCACTTCCGGTTCAGTTCCTCCGACAGTTCCGGTGCTATCAGGTGTTCCTTTCGGCATTGCACCTCCACACAAACTGATGTCAGTATAAACGCCTACCAGTGATCTCCACTTTTCTTTCCTCGTCTCGGATCCTTGGGTGTCGAACTCTAACACCCATCCCGAAAGCTTCCTGTAGAATTTGAAAGGACGTATATTCTTGTTTTTTTTTTAATCTAATTTTAGGAAAATTCACCACATTCTCACAGACTTTTCATCAGAAAAATAGCGAAAAAATAACCTGTCAACTCAAACACTCACATCTAAATATTCTATTTTATACAATCAAATACTGATAAAGCAAGTACAAGTTCTAAATACCATTCTCTAATAATTCAGTTATGCAGTACGATACAACATGGTAGTTAATTACACAATCCACTTAGATTTCATTCCAACAATCTACCAACGTTAATCGTGCATTATAATAATTATCTCTACGCTACGTTACGATATGTTGATAATTCAGCTATACGTGGAAGATTTCATTTCTCATAAGCTATATGTACTTGATATTGTATCAATCTTATAACACTTACGAAAGTAATATGAATATTCGGGCGCATATATTTTATATATGTTTTACCTCAAAGGCCTTTGTTCGCAAATCTAAACCTAGAATTCCAACTAGAATTTCCGTTCCGCTTTTAACGAGTGTGTACCTTATGCCACTCGGAGTGTAGTCTAATTGCTCTCAACTTGTCAATGATCCATCCTTGGCGAGTTTCACTCATGTACTGACTGAAAAATGGATGTCATTCGAACATAAGCGGTTGCTTGTTTGATTTCGCCCTAGATCTGAATTTCAGTTTTTAAAACATCATTGATCAAGTTAAGACTTACTTGTCGGTCTCTGGTTTCCATTTTCCTAAAGACTGAAATGGCTTCCATGCCGGTCGTGACATCACTGATGAATTTCTAAACAAACATCGTGGTCTCTGCTTTGTCGTCCTGGTTGTAGAATTCCGAGTAGTTAAGGGGGAGGCGTTGTAGGGATAATGGAGATATAATGTTAAAATAGGCGCCTTGTACCCTGGAGACTAAAGGAATTTCAACATGGGTAGGCATGTCTAGGAACAATGTACATTTAACATGGATGAGTCTAGGGATAAAAGGGTCTTGAACATGGATGGGCCTTTATCGGGACAAGGGGAATGTAGCATAGCGACAATGGATTGTGACTGTATATCGAATGTGAGAAATTTGAACATAGTGACAAGGGACTGAGATTGTTTAAAAACAAGAGACAATTTAAAATAGGTTGGGACTATTGAGGGACAAAGGGAAATATTCGGGACTTACCTCTATCACACAAACACAGATTTATCTATCAGACATAAATCTATCACACAAACAACTAAACAATCGAAAATATTGTAGACAATGGAGATTAATCATCTTTCCGAGACATATGAGTGACCCTGTCACCGAGACATATGAGTGACCCTGTCACCGAGACATATGAGTGACCCTGTCAAGGGTCTTTGGGTTTCTTCCACTTTCTCTCTTCCCTTCTTCTCTACAAGCACTTCATATTCACCAAGACATTTTTCTTCTTTTTTTCTCTTATCTTTTCCTGCTCCTCAGTCTCCTTCTGTTATGGTTGTTAAAAAAACGATCATCCCAGTCAAATTCAACACGATAAATATTTGATGATGAGTGCAGAAGAAAAATTGGACTAGTATCTTGATGACGGCTTGGTTGAACAAAAATGTATTTTAAAAACGGGTGTCTGTGGTTTGTTTTAAAAAACTGGAGAGCATATATAAAAATATATATATATATATATATATATATATATATATATATATATATATATATATATATATATATATATATATATATATATATATATAAAACTGGACAGACATCTCTATCTATATATATATATATATATATATATATATATATATATATATATATATATATATATATATATATAAAGAATACAAATCATATGGCGAATAACAACCCTCTCAAGCGTACTGGATCCACCAAGGGATCACGTTTGTCAGGGATTAATTAAAATAGATGCAATAAACTGACGACGAACAGTACGAAACTAGTAACTAACTAGCCTAAGCGCTTTCGACTCTTAATGAGTCTTTTTCAAAGGCAAATACAAAACATAGTTACGACAAACAAATAAACACAAAAACGTTGCGTTTGTAAACCTCTACATTTCTATCTTCACATGTGCTAAAACTATAAATACAACCAGCTTGTATAGACTAGTTGCGGAAACTGAAAACGTTGTATAATTCCCTAAAAGTCTACAAGCCAAAGCGACATCTATTTTTACTTTGTGTGCATATGTAACGCAGATTATATCCCGGATATTTGGTTCTATACCGGTTATTCTTATAGTAAAAATTGAAGGATAAGAAGATTTAGAAAATGTTAAATTCTACTAGTGCATAGTTTTCATTTTCTAGTCTTCTTGGTTTAGACCGCTTGGTTTCAATGTTCTAAGGCGGCGTATCCAGTATGATTCCTTTTCCTTCCTGGTTTCGGAACTCCAGCTGTGGTTGTTGGCAATAGCGATAAGTATTATATCACTGAAAGTGTGGCCAGGGGAGGAGAAGTGTTCTGCGACCGGGCTTCTGTACAGCTTTTTTGTCATCCAATCAGATCTATGAAGGTTTATCCTTATGTGTAGCTTTTCAGTTTCTCCCACGTACTGAAGGCCACAGATCTTACATGTGATGAGATAAATCACATTCTCTGTTTTGCACGTTTTGTTTGGACCATGTATGTTTAGTTTTTCTTTAGTCACTGTGCTAGTGAATGTCTTGGTCTCTATCATATGTTGACAGGTTTTGCATCTTTTATCGCCACAGGGTCCAGATTGACTAGGTTGGTTTTGACTAGCGATTGTTGTTAGCTTGGCCCTGACTAGGATGTCCTTTAGGTTTTTTGGTCTCCGGTAAGCTACTACAGGTTTGTTCGGAAGTATTAGGTTTAGTATGTCTGACGATTGCACGGTTGGCCAGTGGTTTGCGATGATTTTACCTACTTTGGGATTGTCTGGGTGATAGGTCAGAATAAATGGTATCCTATCAACCTTTTCTTTCTGTCCATATCTGAGTAGGTCATCACGGTTTGTTTGTTTGGCCCTTTGGATTGCCTCCGCAATCAGGTCTTTGTCGTAGCCTCGGTAAATTAAATGTTTAGCCAGCTCTTCAGACCTTTCTAGGAATCTTTCATCGTCGGAGCAAATTCTGCGTATCCTCAGTGCCTGGCTATATGGAATGTTCTTAATGCAGTGTTTTGGATGACAGCTGGTTGGGAGAAGATACTGGTGTTTGTCGGTTGGTTTCGAGTAGATGTCTGTGTGTAATTTGTTTTCCACCAGTCTGGTTGTTGTGTCCAGGAAAACATGGTTTGAGTTGGAAATTTCTGCCGTGAATTTTATTGAAGGATGGAAGTTGTTTGCCTTTGAAATGAAGTCATCCAGACTTTCTCTTCCATACTGCCACTTCATTTCTATATCATCGATAAAGCGTACCCACTGGTATGGTGTACGCTCAACCGATGCTAAGAGCTTTCCCTCAAGTTTTCCCATGAAAATGTTAGCATACGAAGGGGCCATTTTAGTACCCATTGCAGTTCCATTGATTTGTAGGTAGTTTTCTTCATTAAATTCAAAGTTGTTGAGTTTTAGGACAAGCTCCAGGAGTTGGATTAAGAAGTGTGTGGGTGGATTGTTTACAGTTCTTGTTTCCCATGCTTCGCTGCATGCCTGTAACCCTTCGTTGTGCGGTATGTTGGTGTACAAAGATGTGACGTCTAAGGAAGCAAGTAATGTATCTGGCAGTAATGGTTCACTAGCTTTGCTTTTTATGAGATAATCTGTCGTGTCTTGAAGATATGATGGTAATTTGTGGACATGTGGTCTCATAAAATGATCTAAATATTCTGATATCCTTTCTGTGGGGTGCCCGTTACCTGAGATTATAGGTCTGCCAGGGTTTCCTTGTTTGTGGATTTTGGGTAGAAGATAAAATCTACCTGCTCTTGGGTTTTCTGGGCTTAAGTAGTTTTTGGTTTGCTGGTCTATGTGTCCGCTTTGGTACGCCTCGTCAATAACATTAGTGATGATTTTTGCATATTCCAGCGTTGGATCATGGTCCAGTTTTTGGTAGAACCTAGCGTCACTTAGTTGTCTACTTGCTTCACTAATGTAGTCTTCCCTATTCATAACGACAACAGCGGAACCCTTATCTGCAGGCTTAATTATTATGTCTGTTCTGCTTTTCAGTGAGTGCAGGGCATCTGTTTCTTCTTTTGTCAAATTAGAATATTTGTTAGTATGGTTGATATGTCTGGAAATATCGTTTTCAACCGAGTTGATAAAGGCTTCCAGATTCGGAATTGAACTTTTTGGTGGGGTCCAGTTACTTTTCTTTCTAAATGTGGGTTGGTCGCAGCTTATATTTTCCTTTGATTTGCTTGGTGGTTGCAAGGCAAAATGGGCTTTGAGTCTTAGTCGGCGGATGAATTTTTC